TATTTATTTATTTTCTCTTTTGTGTTGGTGTACCACAAAGTCTGTGAACTTTATGATTCCTAGCATTTTTCTCTTGGTGTGTTTCGACCTTTCGTTTCAGTATTTAGAACTCCTTTGTGTATTTCTTGTAGAGCCAGTCCAGTGGTGACAAATTCCCTCAGCATTTGCTTGGGGATTTCATTTCTCCTTCATTTATGAAACTTAGTTTTGTGGGATACAGAATTTTTGGCTGTTATTCTGTTATTCTGTCTGAGGAGATTGAAGATAGGGCCCCAATCCCTTCTAGTTTATAGGGTTTCTTCTGAGAAGTCTGATAGGTTTACCTTTGTAAGTTATTTGATGCTTTTGTCTGACTTCTCTTAAACATCTTTCTTCACATTAACTTTGCATAACTGGATGATTTTTTGCCTTGAGGATGACCTTTTTGTAATGAATCTTCTGGTGGTTATTTGGGCTTCTTGTATCTATGGATGTTTGTATCTCTGGCAGGGCCAGGGAAGCTTTCCCCTGTTATTCCCTCAAATACATTTTTCAAACTTGTTGCTTTCTCTTCTTCCTCTGGAACACCTATGATTCTTAGGTTTGGATGTTTTACATAACCCCTCATTTCTTGGAGACTTTGTTCCACTCTCTTGATTCTTTTTGTTGTCTGATTGCATTATTCCAAAAGTCTTGTCTTCAGGTTCTGAGATCCTTCCTTCTGCCTGTTCTAGTCTGTTAAAACTTTCCACTGCATTTTGTATTTCCCTAAATGATTCTTTCATTTCCAGAATTTCTGCTTTTTTAAAAATGTCTCTTTGAAGAATTTTTCATTCATGTTCTGAATAGGTTTTTAAAAATTATTTTGGCTTTCAATTTCCTGATGTATATTGATCAGTTTTATAATTTTTTGAATTCTATGTCTGGAATTTCAAAAGTTTCATTTTGGTTAGGGTTCATTGCTGTAGGGTTGGTGTGGTCTTTTGGGGGTGCTGGAGAGCTCTGTTTTTCATATTGTCAGTTATTTTTCTGGTTCCTTCTCATTTGGGTAGATTATTATTTGAGGTTGGCAGGGGGCTTACATAGGCACTGTAGGGTTCTTTTGGTTATGTATAGCCTTGGTGTCATAACTTTCTCAGTTGCCCCCTTTGGAAGTCCTATACTGGCTCACAGCATCCTTATTGGCTTGGAAAGTGCTATTAGCTGGGATTTAGGTTCAGGCCTTCCCCCAAGCTGAAGTATTGTATCTACTGTGGTGGGTTGTACTGTTGACCTCTGGCCAGGAGGTGGCACTTGTGGAAGGGAGTCAGCTGTGATGGTGGCTGTAGGATTTCTCCTTGGCTGGTGTTGCTTCAAGAAAATGCCCAGCTGGCCTACACTGAGGGTGGGTTCTGGCGATTTCCCAACTTCTCTGTTTTGAACCTTCTAGGGGAAAGGAGCTGAAGTGCAGGAGAAAGGAGCTGAAGTACCCCAAAGTGTACACTCTTGTTTATCCCAGTGGGCTTAGGAGGAAGTTCCAGGCTGCTGGAGTAATGTTTTTCTTTCAGTGTCTGGAAGTTGTGGGGGACTGTGGTGCTGCAGACAATTTCAGCCAGTCACAGCTGAGGTCAGTGGATATTTTTCTTCTTCTTTGCGCTGAGTGGTTATTATCACTTCTTTGGAGAATCATGGGATGTGCTGCTAGTCCCGTTTCTCTCTGGGTGCTGAGGAAACTCTATTTTGGTTTACTCTGTAGGAGAAAACTCACTCTAGCTGCCTCACATCAGCCATTTTAATCCTATCTCCTGCTTTATATCATTTGTAGTTATGTATTAGATGTTTCGAATTGTTATATTTTCCTAGTGTAGTGAACTTTTATCATTTTTGTGTGTCACTTTATCTTTGTAATACATATCTCCCTTAAAGTCTGCTTTCTCTCATATTAACATAAATTTATATGCTTTCTTTTGGTTAGAGTCTGTGTGTTATATGTTTTTCCATCTTTTTACTGTTAGTTTTCCTGTTTCTTAGCCTTAAGATGAGCCCAGTATATAGCTGGGGTGCTTTTTGTTGTTGTTGTTACCATTCTTTCTTGTTTTTGTTCAGAGTCTTTTCTTTGGAGTGTTTTCTCAGTTTGCATTTAGGATCTTTCCTGATAATGCTTGGGATCAAGTCCCTCATCTTGTTATTTGCTTACTATTTTTTCTGTTCTATTTTTTTCTTATTTATTGCCTTCTTTCAGATGGTTTTGTTTGCTTTCTAAAAAATTTTCTTTAGCTGTATGAGTCAATCTTTATCCCTTTAATGTTGCCCTGTAGACTGCAACATATCTTTTTAACTTATTGAAGTCTAATGGAATTAGTATTTTATTACATTCCAGACAGTGCAAGGAACTTAGTACACTTTAACTCCTTTCATTTATTTTTCCAATTTATATAGTGTCATTGGTACTTCTGTATATCTTAAACCTTATTATACATTTTATAGCCTACAATATCTAATTTAACATAAAACCTAATTATAATAGTTTCTATCCTGAATATATGTTTACTGTATCCTTTACCCTTCATTTTTCTCTACTTCTCTAATCTTCCACTAGAATTATTTATTTATTCTGCCTAAAGAACTGTTATTTCCTTTTGTGTGGATATGCTTATGACATATTCACATATTTCCTTTTTGTGTGTATAAACTTAAGACAAATTATCTCAGTTTTTGTTGTCTAGTGTATTTTTATTCATCTGCCATTTGAAAGGTTTTTTGCTAGGTCAGCTCATATTTTACTTCAGCTCATATTTTACTTTGACAGTTAGGATTCTACTGGCTTCTACTATTTCGGTGCAGAATCTCTTGTCATTCAACATGTTACTTCTTTGAACATAATCCATGTCATCATCCATTTCATTATCCTCTGCTTCCAGATACTATTAGTATTTTTTCTTTATCCATGATTTTCAGAAGTTTTGCTGTGATAGATTTATGTGTATTCTTAGTTTTTATCTCACTTGAGGCTTTGCATTTGTAAAATCAGAATCAATATTTTTGTTTTTTTTTAGAAAGTTCCAAGTTATTCTCTTTTCAAATATTGCTTTTATTTCATTTTTTCTTTCCTTTATGATAATTCAGTTACGCGTATGTCAGACCTTTTTACCGTAATCCATATATCTTTTATTTCCCTTCTATATTTTCTATCTTTTAGTTTTCTCAAGCTGTATATTTGCTTTTGAGTCTGTGGAAAATATTTTAAAGTTTGTCTTATGCTGATAAAATCATTAGTTTTGATTTATTACTCTGCTCTTGAATATCATTTGTGTTTTTTATTATTGTAATTTTCTTCTAAAAATCTTAGTTATTTCCTTGATTGTGTTAGGCATAGTTATTTTAATAACTAGTTCTAAAGATCTTTGCTATCTAAATTCCCTATAGATATGTTACTATGGACTGCTGTTTTTGTTGGTTTTAGGTGATATTATTTATCTTCTAGTATTACTGGTTATTTTTTACTGATTGCCAGATATTGTATATGAGAAACTGTAGAGATAATTTGAAGGCTAACATGATATTATCTTTATTCAGAGAGGGTTTATTTTAGCTTCAAAAGTGACCAAAGGACTAGCAATTACAGATTGCCTTAATTCAGGCAGGAATTGAGAAAATTTGACGTTGGTTTACTTCTGGTACATTTCTACTCAGAGTTTCAATCATTCCTTATCAATAACTTCTCAACTCTAATTCCTATCCTCTTAGCCACAGAAATTTGTTTTTCTCTTTTCACTGTCTCTTGTCTCTCATCTCCCTCTTGGAAATTGACCATCTCTTCTAAGAGAAAGGCGCTTCCCAAAGAGGTACACATCAATTTGGGTTTTCTTCTTGTCAAAGATTACTGTCCCATAATTTGTTACTGTCTTTGTTGTTCTCAGAGCTTTCAGACAAATGTTTTTGTTTTTAATAACTTTTTTACATTTTCTGGTTCTTACTGGGAGGAACAATTGTTACCTAGATTATTGGGTAAAATCAGAAGATATTGTGACTGTTTTTGTCTTCTGAGTTATAATATGTAGATGGTTATTTAAAAACCTACAGTTTTCTGCAGATCATCAAACCGTTTTCATTGATTTATACTTTCATGCCCAGTTTCTTCATATAGAGTTGGATATACATTCTTTTTTTTGAGTTGGAGTCTCACTCTGTCACCCAGACTGGAGTGCAGTGGCCGCTCCTGGCCACCGCAGCCTTGATCTGCTGGGTTCCGGCGATCCTTCTGCCTCAGCCTTCCAAGTAGCTGGAACTACAGGCGAGTGCTACCACGCCTGGCTCATTTTTGATTTATTGTAGAGATGAGGTCTCGGCAAGTTGCCCAGGCGGGTCTCGAACTAGCGGGCTCAGGCAGTCCACTCACCTCAGCCTCCCAAAGGCATGGGATTACAGGCTGAGCCACTGAGCCCAGCTTGGATATATATTCTTAACAAAAAGCTTTAAGGCATCTAAAAAGATAATCACTAAAATGGATGGATGCCCACCAATATACTATACAAAGTTAAATTAGGTTTAGTTGTTAGCAAAAAAAAGTCATTTTTTAAGTTTAATATTATTTTGGCCATCTCTTTTAAGACAGGTAGGAAGTGATGCTTCATATGTAAAATGACTACATCTTACATAACATATTTTCCAAAGATTCTTTGATTCTCTGCTTATCAGAATTTGGGTCATCTTATTTATTTTTAAATCCTTTTTATAAATCTTATTTGGGTAGTACTTCTTAGAAAGACAAACTAATAAGAACTTAATTTGTTTGGAGAGATGTTTTCTCTGATGTATTAATTCATAATTTTTATTCAAATATCAAAATACTATTTTCCTTGTTCATCTTTGTAGAAGATCAGATATTATAACTATTTGCCACTTCTTTTCCTCTACATTTATTTTTTAATTTACTAATCAGAAAGTTTTTAAACTAAAGTTATCAAGGATTCCATGCACTTCCAAGATAGAGATAGCATCAATTTAAAGACTCAATTATTTTCTGTCTTCACTGCTTACAGACAGGGAACACAGTCTCTTCAACCTGGACTTGTGTAGAAGAATTTGGAGAAAATAAACAGGTAAGAAAAAGTCTCTTAGGAATATTAAGTGATATATTTAGTTTTTAAAAAGCCAGTTATAAATTATTTTTCTTATGAATTTAAGAAGATATGTTTAAAATTGTATCATGAAACCTTGTGAAGAAATTTGATTATAATAGCTCTTTTAATTATAGACCTATCAAGCAAATATTTAAAGAGGTTAAACTGGTTTTTGTTTTCAGGTCTTCTCAAAAACTTTTAACTTTCTAGTATACCTAGAACCACCAAGATGGTAAACAGTATTATAAAATAGATATAGTTGAGTATGCTATTTGTACTGTCTAGTATCTAATATTTGTTATTTCTACTATTAGTATTTCTCATTTTATCTGAAAATGGGACTTCCGTTGTTTTTCAGCCCTTTAATCTTATTTGAACAATTTAGAAGTTATATATACTAGGACTTACTGTTTAGTTTTTTTTTTTGTTTTAAACCAGGTACTAAGAAAGGTTTGCTTTAGTAGGAAGGTAGTGTATGGGGCAACCCCCTCAGGTCCCCTCCCATTGTGGGAGCTTTTCTGTCTTCTCCATAGATTGCTTTCTCAATAAAAAAAAAAGAGAGAGAGAGAGTAGTATATTATTTGAGTCAAGATTATTATTTTCCAAAATCCTTTTTACATGTAGAGCCAAAAAGAATGTTGTAGTTCCTGGGAAGCCATTCATGTACGTGTTCTATAACCTTGATTGAGTTTCTTCACCTTTTTGTGCTTCAATTTCCTCACTTGTATTTCCTTATAAGCCTATTACAAGGATTCAGTCTTACTGTATCCTTGTATTGTTGTTTTTATTACTTAGTAAGTGCTCAATAAGTATCAGCTATTAATATAACCTGTTCTTCAGATACAAAGATAAATGCATTTACTATACTTGAGACTTATAATTTTATTTTTACAGATCTTAATCTTAGTATAAATTTCAAATATATGATGCTAGTCTCAGAACTGTTGTTTTACAACTCTTTATAGTTCATATTTTAAGGTATGAGGACTAATTTTACTGACAGAAACGAAATTTGAAAAGAATTGCTATCTTTTATTACTTTCTCCCAAATAGTTTATCCAGTGTGCTATGATCTTTTTTTATCTGTTCTGAAGCCTAGATTGCTGCAACTCTGATCATAGTTTTTGTTGTTTTTTTTTTCCTACTATAGGCTGTTCGTTCTATTGCTCACTTTTCAAATGGTTTAGGAACTAGAAATAAAAGGAATTTGACATGATTATCTCTTAATACTCTTAAGGTAGCACACTGGAAACTCTGGATATAACTTGGCCTCAGTTTTTTGCTAGAAATGCAGCTAGGCTTAATTTCAGTACAAGTAGGCATCTATTGTTTTACATTTGGTTCTCTTTGCGTTTTTGTTTAAGTCTTCCCTCTGAAGGCATTTGGTTTATAATTGCTACGTTTAATATATATAGAAGGTATTTTATGTTTTTCTGGGGTTGTTTTTCTGGGGTTTTTTTTATTATGTATTAATTTCATTATGAGTTCTTCCCCAGCTGAGTTTTCAAGTTGTTCAGTGAAATAACTGTTTCTGAGGTCCAACAATTTGGGGAAAATCTGTACTATATACTCCCTTTGGAAAATCATAATGAATATTAGCATACTAAATAATTGAGGGAGCATTCAGTTTCACTTTTAAACCTATCTAAACTATTCTTGAGATTATTTGGATACAGAATTCTTGTTTTGAGGAATTCTTACACTTCAATAGTATGAAATGTAGTTTGAAAAACACTAAAATTAACTCATAAAAACAGTTGGGTTTTGTTGTATGTTTATAACTTTACTGAAGTATATAATTCAGTTGAAATAAAATGCCTATATTTAAAGTGTATAATTTGATTTGTTTTGATTTTTGTGTACATCTATGAAATGATACCACAATCAAGAAAACAAAACATTTCCACAACCTCCAAAGGTGCCTTGTGCCTTGTTGTAATTAATTCTTCCTCCCACTCTTTTTCCCAGGCAGCCTCTGTAGATTAGTTGCATTTCCTAGAATTTCAAACCCTTGCTTTGAAGGCTTTAATTATAATCTTTAGATAGTTTAGAATTTAATTTTAAAGAAAAGAATTAAAAAAAAAAATAAAGGTACAACATTTTGACACATTTGCGAGTCTATGGAAATTGTTATATATGGTCAAAGTTTTCATAGTAAAAATTAAAAACCCAAATCATTCTTTTATAATTATTTGAAAAAATATATTGTATACTGAAAAAATACTTAAGTATAAAACTAAAAGCAGATGACTTTTTCCCCCAAAACTGAATTTGAGAAATATAATTCCTCTAGTAGAAATAAATGATCAGAAACTAACCAATGGAACTTTATAAGGAAGCAGTTAGAGGCAATAACTTTCTTTCTGATTCAGCCAGTCATTACTAAGATTAACATATTCAAAGTCTTCTTTAAAATTATCTTAAACAGTAGTATACAAGCTACTCATGGACCTTAGAAAAAAATACTGGCCACTTGTCTACATCTTGCTTTTTGTTTTCATTAGCCTGATATAAAAAATTAAGTGCAAGATAATTTTTTAAAAAATGATTGTAATAGGGAAAGTAAGGTGAAAATGCCAGTAAATTTAACATATATGTTCTAGCCAAAAGTATCATTTAAAAATTTTTGATTAATGATTTTAAATATTTGTCTCAGGTTAAGTAGCTTAGTTAAGTTAACTAGCAGTTCTTAGAAATATTTCCTGTGCTTTACAGTTAGTTCTTGATTTCCTGTATGAGTTAAAATAATACATGATAAATAGTATTTATATTTAAATATAACTAGTAGATACTTTGTTATCTCTGTTTGAACCCAGTCATAGTTTATGTTCTGGGAATGCATAGTACAGTTAAAAAACCCTCCAAAACTAAGTTTTTTGCAATTTTTTGTAAAATAAAGTTGAGATTGTTATTTCAACTTTGGTTATTGAATGTTAGAAGTAGAAATAACAAAATGATGAAATGCAGAAGTTTTTCAAAAATTTCAATAAGATCCCATAGAAATCTAAAGAAATGTTTAAGCTGGGCTCGGTGGCTCAGCCTGTAATCCTGCACTTTAGGAGGCTGAGGTGAGTGGATTGCCTGAGTCCGCGGGTTCAAGACCCGCCTGGGCAACTTGGCGAGACCTCATCTCTACAATAAATCAAAAAATTAGCCAGGCGTGGTAGTGCACGTCTGTAGTTCCAGCTACTGGAAGGCTGAGGTGGAAGGATCGCCGGAGCCCAGCAGGTCTAGGCTACAGTGGCCGGGAGCGGCCACTGCACTCCAGACTGGGTTGACAGAGTGAGACTCCAACTCAAAAACAACAACAAAAAAGAAATGTTTAAAATATGTTTTAAAGACCTGAGAAATTATTTTATAAATCAAAAGATCAGGTGTCGCTGGTAGGAGTATAAAATAATATAGCCTTAATCACCTTGGAAAACAGTTGGGCAGCTTCTCAAAAAGTTAGCTTAGAGTTATCATATGGCTTAGCAATTTCATTCTACATACTTATGTAAGAAAACTGGAAACATGTTCACACAAAACCTGTACATATTGTTCATTAGCAGCATTGTTCATAATAACCAAAAGGTAGAAACACCCTAAATATTCATCAACTGATGAATGGATAAGCAAAATGTAGCCATATCATGGAATATTATTTAGTCATAAAAATGAATTGAGTTCTGATACTTGCCAGAACATGGATGACACTTGAAAACATTATGCTAGGAAGTCAGTTCCAAAAGGTCTCATGAATTATATGCTTCCATTTATATGGAAAGCCCATCATCAGAGAAGTCTATAGAAACAGAAAGATTAGTGGTTGCTGGGCCTGGGAGAGGGAATAGGGAGTGACTGCTAATGAGTTAGAGTTTCTGTTTAGGATAATGGAAATATTCTGAAATTATGTAGTGGTCTTAATTGTACAGTTTTGTAAATACACTGAAGACCACAGAATTGCACACTTAAAGCTGCATCAAAAAGAGGGTGGATGTGGAGGTAGAAGTCACAGAGCTGATGGGGAAGAGAGAAACCAATTATGAGGAATATGATTTTAATGGAAAATTAGTATAAAGAATGACCAGAAACAAAAGAAAAAAACAAAATTAATGTGAGAAAACACAACACTTTTACTGAACTTAAAGTCTCTAAAATCGAAAAACCGACATTCTCTACAACCCCACAATTCCCCTACTGGGAATATACCCAGAGGAACTCAAATCACTCTATGAAAATATCCCTGCACATGCATGTTTATTGCAGCATTATTCACAGTAGCAAAAACATAAGACCCAACCGTGCTGCCCATAAAGAGGACTGGATAAAAAAAATGTGGTACATATACATGATGGAATATTATGCAACCATAAAGAACTTTGCAGCAACTTGGTTGAACTTAGAGTCTGTGATACTGAGTGATTATCAAAGAAACAAAGAAGTGAATACCACATGTTCTCCCTCATAGGCGGGCCTTGAACAATTATCATAATACTATAAGAAAGGGACTGGCAGTAGCTGGAAACTGCCGAGGGTGGGGGGTGTGATTGGCAGTAGTAGGAAACTGCCAGGAGAATGGGGTGGCACACCTCATCAACAAGGGTACCTGCATAATGAACATTTGTATACCTAACCCTGAATTGTACCCCACATTTTCAAAATAAAAAATAAAAAAAATAAAAAGAAACACTTCACACTCCCCCCGCCCCATCTTAGGGGCCACACACACACGTGTGCGCGCGCACACACACACACACACACACACACACACACACACACACACACACACAGTTTTCTACATCTTTATTTAAAACAGAAAAGCAGCTAAGAATTAATGGTGTTTGCTCAAGATGTGTAAAATAGAAACAAAACAAGAAACACATTTAGTAAAGCAATGTATCCATTGTGTACATTTCCACAGAGAAACATTGGTGGTTTTCACTACCAGATTGTTTCTGTGTTGAACACAGAAAAGTAGTAGACCAGTTCATAGTAGCTACATAAATAGACCTGTCAAGTATGTGATAGATATGCTTCTCCTTTGTCAGATGTAGCACAACACTTATTAAGCTCTTTCCTGCTCGTTCCAGGTACACTAGCAGAATCTTTCTGAATCCTGGGCTCCTGTTAGCCATTACTCCTTAATTAGAATTAACATTTAGGATTATGTGTATTTGTTTTTGTTCTTCATATACAACATATTTTTTCTATGAAAATATTTGTATCCCAAACATAAATATGAAATGGTAGAAAAATTGTCAAAATAATAACTCATTATATTAGAGCAATTGTTTTCACATTTTTCCCCCAAATGACCTTTTCTTCAAATGAAATATTAAACATAAAAATTTAGCATATAAAACAAGGGCATGCAGAGTCGCATGGGTTTGAAATGGGAGGTGTGGGAATGGTAGGTGCAAGCAAAAGACAAGTAACTTAGGGCAGCACTGTCCACTGTAGTTCTGTCCCTCTGTTCGTCATAACCTCTTGCATTCACTTTCTATTAACTGTTTGAGAAGATTGTCAGCATGAAAGAGCATTGTCAAGTGGAAATAATACTTTCCTAGAAAGCAAGAGCCCTGCATTTTAACTCATTCTTTGTCTATTCAGTTGTGAGAGTATGGATCAATCACTTAAATATCTTTTGTCTCTGTCATTCACCAATAAAAGAAGTTATTTGAATTAGATTTCTAAGATCTCAGCCTATTCCTGGCTTGTGATTTTGAATCATAGAATTGGATTCATCAAAAGTTGTAGTAGTATGAACAATAAAAAGATAAAGCCAATAGAAATGGGTAAGAGGCTTGAACAAATACCTTACCATTTAAACAGATGATGTTTAAACGGGCAATAAACACATTATTAGTCATAAGAGCAGTCAGAATTAAAACCACAATGAGATACAGTTTCACATTCAGTGGAATAGCTATGATTAAAAACATGGGCAATACCAAATGTTAGGATGTGGAATAACTGGAGGTCTCATATTTTACTGGTGTGAATATAAAATGGTAATACTGGAGAATTCCTAAACAGTATGGGTCATCTACCCTGTAACCCAGTAGTCCCCTTCATAGGTATTAACCCAAAAGAAATGAAAACACATATCCACAGAAAGATTTATATAAGAATGTTCATAGAAACTTTATTCATCATTGTTGAACTTAGAAACAACTCAGATATTCATCCATTGGTTAATAGATAAATAAATTGTGGTATATTCATACAATGAAATAACACTCAGCAATAAAAAAGGAACAAACTACTGAAATATACAACATGAATGAATTGTAGAAATTATGAGATTGGGTTATCTGTCTTTCTGGAACAATTTTATTAATACCAAAATGAGCTATTTGAGTTTTTACTTGGCAAGGTAATATACGACAGTGGATTCTTTTTATGAATAGAAAACAAATCTTATACTGTAGAGGATTTCCTATTTTGTAACTAATTTTATTAGTAAAATTTGTAAACTAAAATGTACAACTTGGAAAAAAAACACATTATATTGAGAGAAAGAAACTAGACATAAAAAATACTTAACGTGTTATATGAAGTCTAAGAACAGGCAAAACTAATTTATGGTGATAGAAATCAAGAAGTGGTTGCCTCCCACAGAAGGGCTATTGACTGGGAAAAGGGGCACAGGAAACTTCTGGATTTTTGGATATGTTTTATATGTTGTTTTAGGTGTGGGTTACATGGATTATGCAGTTATCAAAACTTATTGAAATAAACACATTGGATGTATGCATTTGTTGTACGTAAAGTTTTAAAAGTGTTAAGACAATTGAATAATACTTAGTGTAAAACTTAAATTCTGAAATTAGCTCAGGGTCTTTCTTTCTTTCTTTCTTTCTTTCTTTTTTTTTTTTTTTTTTGAGTGGGAGTCTCATCTGTCGCCCAGACTGTGGCCGCTCCCGGCCACCGCAGCCTCGACCTGCTGGGCTCCGGCGATCCTTCCGCCTCAGCCTTCCGAGTAGCCGGAATTACAGGCATGCACTACCACGGCCAGCTGATTTTTTGATATATTGTAGAAATCAGATCTCGCTGCCCAGGCGGGTCTCGAACCCGCTGGGCTCAGGCAATCCACTCACCTCAGCCTCCCAAAGCGCTGGGATTACAGTCTGAGCCACCGAGCCCGGCTGACAAGATGATTTCTAAAGCTCCTTCTGTTCTGACACAAATCACTCCATGATTCTGATCATCATTCTCTGTAAAGACTTTCTTTTGTAATTCTGGGATACTTGAAAGAATGTATCTCCTATAGTTAGAAGCTGAACATTTTTAATTATCTTTTGACAAATGTTTCTTTTGTGTAGTGTGCAATTTGCAAATGCAATTTGGAGCCATATCTTTTTCTTGTTGAATATGAGGGATCATCAGGGGTTGCCTCCAAACCCCCATTATACAACAAGCAAACCAGGCTCTGAAAGATTTATAGCTCACCTAAATGTGCCATTATCATTGTCATCGTCATCATCCTCATTATCATCATCTCGTTTCTTTTTTTTTTCCTCTCCCTTCAGATTTAATCTAGTAGGTCACACTGACCCAGGTTAAGAATTTTTCAAATATAAATGGTCTAAATGTTACTTTACTTGGCAAAACAAAGGCAGAGTAAGTCATTTTTCCAACTCTCTCTTCAGGCATGCCTTATAAGGAAGGTTTTCTTTCTAGGGGGACTTGGACTCTCATTAATCTACTTCTTCTTTCAACAATAAAATGAAAAATGAAATGAGATTATCAAAATGGATAGTCTGGTGTGGACCTGATAACATGCTTTTGAAAAGTGGTTTACATTTGACATCAGTTAAGCTCCTTGGGCCAAGGCGTCTCAGGTCTGCTATGTGGGGCCTGGATTTCACTCCCAGCTCGGACACAAATATGCTTTATTGGTTTCAAATGCCTCTCAAGCCTATTGGAAGGATGGATGAGATCCTAGTACAGTAAGTATTAAGTCATCTGCAGAATTATAAATATCCCCTTACCCTATCTTATTAAACACTACTTATACAAAGACATTTTTGTGCAATGTGCTTTTTCCTTAACTTGGATATATATTTATTTTAATTTTGCTTTCTTCTTATACATTTTTAATACATGGTACAAAAGGTATGTAGTATAAGGTGAGACATTTAGATATTTAAAAGTTGGATTTTTTTCCAGCCCTTTGGCACAAATAATTATAGAATCCAACTGCTTCTTATTAAGGAGT